CAGCCCTAACTATGCAAACCCTTTAGGGAGGCAGCCAAAAAGCACATGGTGCATCTGACCGGGCTGAGAGGCTGTGCAGCAATTAAAGCTCCCTGGCAGCGTTCTTGGAGCATTACCTGGGAAAGCCACCTTTAGTGACCACCTTTAGAGTGACCTTTAGGGGTTCCATATTTGGGGACTTGCCTTTTAGTCCTGGGAGGGCAGGTTGGGCAGTAAACAGCCTCTCGGGGCAGCTCAGGTGGTGGAAAAGGGCAGGAAGGTGGAAGCAATGAGCTCTGCTCTGGTCCCTGCTGCCAGCAGGGTGGCTTCTCTAGTGGCTCAGCAGGCTTCTGCCTGCTTTGATCACCATGATGCTTCATGACCAGCTTCATTCACCAGCAAGAACCTGAAATGTTATTAGTGGAGTATGCAAGGGGATGCTAGAGGAGGCAACACAGCATCAAGGAGAGATAACTCCCTCTGCTCTACAACAAACTGCCCATTAGCTTGAACAACAGAGAAGCCAACCACAGCATGAAGGCATGAATCCTGCATATCGATTCAAAGCTTTGGGGGAAATACCCTAGATTTTTGCTATTGCCTCCTGCTGTTTCTGAAAATAAACCCCTAACATTTTAGGATATAAAATCATCATCATTGCATCAACCACGTTCTGACCATCAACCTAGAGTGCAGCTTTAAACGAAGCTAGAGAGAAACAACAGAGAAGTGTGGGTTGCCTGAGAGACATTCCCTCATCAACCCTTTTTGCTCTCCTCTGCATTGCTTGACTTTTATTCTTCCACTGCTGCCAGCTAGGGAAACGGAATGCTCCAATGCTTAAGAGTATTTTACTCACGGTGGCTCTCACAGATACCTTAATGTTCCCATCTCCCTGCCACCCAGTGATGAGCTTTCCTGTCAGTGGATGCTGCAAGCAGGTGCTTCTAGTGGGAAGTGGGAAGAAAATCCAGGCCAGAAATCCAGAGTCACTCCACAATGAAAACTGACCCTACCGAGACCCCCACCCCTCCCACCCCTGTTTGCAACCCTCTCTGCTGGATTTTGTCTGTCATTTAGCAGCAGAACTGACACCAAACGCGATGTTTGGTGCAATCCATGCTGCCTGAAGCTGGAATAGGAATGTGGTCAGGGAGCCCTGCTGCTCTGTAACCTAGCATTTCAGAATGATCCTGTGGGACTTGTTAAGTCTCCTGAAAGCTTTCCAGCAGCACACCTAGGTTCAGACTGGTCCAGGAGGTGTGAAGTTGAGATGTTCTGGCAGGGAGTTGTTTCCTTCCTTCCCCATTATTCAGATTGCCTCTAACCATTGGCACCATCCAAGATGAGGTGGTGCGTGCTTACTCGGTGCTACTTAAGCTTCATTTTGGGCTGGCACCTCTCACACATCCCAGGGACCAAATTCAAGTACCGATGTTATCTGAGGGAAGAGGGAGAAAGGAGGAGTGCTGCTGGGATCTTTGCTCACACTCTCAGCCCACTCTGCCTGCCCAAAGCTCCTGCTATATCCCAGGGACTGCAAGAGCAGTTAGGTTCTGTTCTTCCAAGGCAGTTTCTCCCCTCCATCTCCCCAAGCAGCTGTTGAAACTAAATTACTTGCTATAGAGGCTTACACAAAGGCAAGGGCTCTGGCTGGCCAAGACTTCAAGTGATATGAATTTAAAGGGAGAAGGGGGAGGGGGAAGGGATGTGTTCTTACATTACGGTTGCCTCTGTCCCAAGGTTCTGAGCCAAGAGGATTGTCAAGATTAGAAACATTATCTGCATTCAAATCCCACTAGCTTTATGGAATCAGAAAATACTGTAAGGGGATATAGAAATGCTTGATACTGTAATGAGCAGGGGACAACCAGCCAAGCTGACATGCCTTTGGCATACTTTATATTTTGCTGCCTTATGGGGTTCAAGTTTAGGTGTGGGAATACATCCTCACCTAAGCACTGATGAAACTCACCTGCTGTAATGGAAAGCAAAGATGCAAGATCCAACCCCTGCATAATTTGCATTTGAAAAGCCCCCATGGGCACTGACACACTTGCAAAGGTCTCCGCTGCCGCAGTGGAAAGAGCTCCTCAGAGTCTGATGTTGCATGAATCTTCCCCTGGTGCAAGACCCCAGTGCTCTGTGGACGGGCACCGGCTACAGCTGTACCACTCACCTCACTAACACACATAGCATCAAGGTCCCAGGGAAGGAGGCAGGCTGCGTGCTTAGCTCCATCCCCACAGTGTATACAGGATAGTGCTGTACATGCTCTCTCCTAGATACACACACACTGCTGCACACCTTCACTCAGGGTAAGCCTCTTCAGAGGAACATCTCCAAGCACTCATACCCACAGTACACACACCTCCAAGACACCACCAGGCACACCTCCAGCATCACCGTGAACTTTCCTGAGCCCCGGTGAAGTGCACACACCCAGAGTCTCACACAAAGAGGCTTTCACCCCATCAGACAAGCTCTCTTGACATGTTTACTCTTTCCCAGCAAGCTCCCAGCTGCACCCACTCCCTTCCCAAGAGCTGCATGCTGACACACATCACTCCTGGTCAATGCCTCCTCTCCTGTAAACATGCACGCCCAGGCTCTTGTCTGTAGCAGATGCTTCAGCTTTTCTGCACGTTTCTGAGCTGCTTCAAACAGCCCCTAGAAACCCCAACCACCTCCTGTGTGAAGGAGTCAAGAACTTTCAGGCTTGAACTGCCCTGATGCTGTCTGACACAAGGCTAACATACCTGTAAGGAAGTAGCTAGATCAAGTGTGGGCTGGATATGAATTAACAGTCTTCTTCCCTTGGGCTTTCTTGTGTGTTACCTCTGCTCACACTGCAAGCCAGAGGCTCAAGTGTTGACTCTGAGGAACCTCTTGCTAGTTTACACAACTGGCAGCATGCAGAGACATGCTGACAGTGCCCCCAAAAGATGATGATCCTACAGGCTTCATCCTCTTGTCCAGTAAAGGCAGACCCCCATAATGGGGAACAGAAAACAGCTTTTCCTGCTTGCTAACGTCTAGGATGCTCGCAAGAAGTGTTCATCTCTCCCTGTATTATAGGGTACCAGGTGCTCATTAGGTGATGGCTGTGGCCTGAGCTAGGAGGTGGGATGCTAGACCAGTCAGGGCGGTGCTTGGATGCCTTCTCAATGGATGCACAAACATGGAGCAGTGCATGCTGTATCCATTGTAAACACAAGCCCTGAATGCGCAGCCTTGCCTTTATTTCAAAACGCTGGCTGAGAGCAAGGAAAAAGCAGCAAGACCACCTATTGCCTGCATAACGTGAGCATGGTGCTACACACATGGTGGCATGTTTCCCTCAGGACTGGCCAGGCAGCCACACAGGGATCGAGGCTGCAGTGATGCGGTGGTGCCTGGCAGAGAGCATGTCCTCCTGGAGGGCTTCAGGACAGACCTGGAGACACATATTTGGTGGAAGGGAGAAGACAGCCACGTTCTCCATCACTCCTCTTCACCCAAGCAAAGTCCCTGAGCCCTGACCCTCAGGATTTCAGGGACACCAAAATGATGCCTATGGGATGCCGGCTCCATGAAACCCCAGTGTGCAAGCAATGGGGCTGCCCCATCACTTTTGCTCCCTGGTGCCTTTAATCACTGCTCACTCTCACAGTGCCCAGGCACAGGAGGAAACTATTTATAGCAGGGGAGCCAAGGGGCCGTGTGGCCATGGGGGCAGTGCTGCTGGGTGACATTCAAACTGGCTTTGAGGCTGGGGGAGGATGCCAAAATGGGTCCTGGGGAGGGTGTTCCTCATAAATCAGCCTGCCATCTCCCTGGCCATGGCTTCTCTTATGTCCCCCCCCCCCCCTTCAGCCTCCCACCACTGAGCACAGGCAGCTGTGCCCTAATAGGGACATTCCTGTCCTGGAAGCCCCCAACCCCTCATCCCTATTGATCCCCTCACATCCAGCAGGGTTGAGAGGGAGGACAGCAAGAAGACCATCAGCATCAGAGGTATTCATGGAGGAGGGAGGAAGGGGGAGACAGAGGGGATCTCAGAGCATCATTACAGCCTTGTTGGGTCTCTGGCGTGCTTGCAGCGGGGCTAAGTCGGTCATCTGGTGAATAAGGGTCTCATTTCCCAAGGTCACTTCCTCTTTATGGAGTCCATCTGGAACTTACAGGGTCTCAGCCATGGCCACTCCCACCATGGGGCATTTGCAGAGCGTCTCCCCTTTCCTCACATATCTATTTTCACAAAACAGGCAGGAACTTGATATGTTCTAGAGGCCCCTTCAGCAAAAATGGTGGGAACAGGGGGCAGTCGTTTCCCAGAGCTGCAAGAAGGCAAATGCAAGCATGGATGGGATTACTCATTTCTTTAGGAAAAAGAAGGGACCCGGAACTGGGGGGTGACTAAAGCCTGGACAAGAGACATGACTTAATGCGTTTCATAAGGGAAAGGACTAGTTTTGCAAAGCCACGAGCCCTTCTGCTTTATTTTGCTGCGTGCCTGCTTTGGCCACCCCATCACATGTATGAAGCAAAAGTGATGGCGTTGTGCCCTAAATCCCATCCAGCTTGAAGCCACTACTGCCTGGCACCAAGCACTTCCGGAGTTAAAATGTCCATGGTGCCCACACGTTACATTCCACTTCAGGAGGCCACAAAGGCACAATAGAGGAGACAGCTTTTGCTTTGTGTCAGTGGCACAAGTCTTTCTCCAGCCATGTCCACTGCTTTGGTGCCCCTGACTCAGTCGGGAGCCCTCTCCTGATGCCAGAGTGTCAAACAGCAGTTACCAGCATGTGGTATGGCCAACAAACTCAGTGCTGCAACACAGTGGGAAGAAACCCAACCCTTTTGACCTCTGGGCAGCGTTATCTCAGCAGGGAGGCAGCATGTGATGCATCCCACCCGTTAATGCTGTCTGAAAGCAAAATATGGGTCACTTGTGCCTGTTGTACCATGCACAATGCCCTTTAGCTACCCTGTGGTGTTAATGCTGCTAAGGTGGGGCTCTCTGGTTCCTCCCACAGCTGGCAGCTCAGGTCCTGGAGCCCAAGAGCATTGGCTTCGGGATGGTTGACTCCAAGAAGGACGCCAAACTTGCCAAGAAGTTAGGTGAGTCCCATGTCTGGAATCTCTGGAATAGCTTGGAGGGAGATGTGTGAGTGATGCTCAGCTGCCAGCTCAATAAAGGACAGCCAAATCCTTGTTACCAGGATGGCGAAGGTGATGGCAGCAATTACACACTTACCAGCCCAACATGAGCAGGATCAAATGGGGAGAGGATGGGAGGGATGAGACAAGACCCTTCCAGCAAAAGCTTTCTGGCTGAGAGTGCCAAAACCAAACCAAACAAAGTGAAAAGGAAAGCCAGTTCATGCCATACTGGTGACAAGGTGGAAGCTCACCACTTGCTGAGCAGATACTTTAAATAGGTTCCATGGAGTAACTCCATGCTCTTCCTACAGAGAGACAGGTCTGACACAGCAGTGCAGAACTAAAACCCATGGGGAAATCAGATAAGCCCACAAATGTCACCACCAGATGGCAAAGTAATTTTCTTTCCTAAATTAAAGGCTCTCTATGCTGGTGGAAACTCAACTAAAGGGGAGAGCTTCTCCCTCTCTTAGAAGAAACAAACTATCACCTCCCTTGGCCCATGGTACCCTGTCATCATGCACTGCAGGGGCTCAGTGCTGTTAATTTTGGAGCCTCCATTGAGATGCTGTGGCATCCAGCCCTCAGTCCAGTTATCTACTATTCAAATCTGCCAGCCTGCCATCTATGGCATCTCTGTCACAGGTTTCTAACCCTTTTGCCAGGGCTAGCTAAGCCTCGGAGAGTTTGGAACTCACTTTGGCTTTCAGGTCACTGTTCATGTTCACATAGCCTTCTCTGGGCAGAGAGCACAACCTGCATCACAATCCATTTTTCATTGAGTGAGAAGTTAAGATTTGGGATGTCAGAGCCCAAATCTATTTGCTATTTACTATTTACTGCAAGACAAATAGCCAAACAAAACCAAGGTCCTGGGACAGAACTTTTCCACCTGGGGCCAAACTGTGACCTGAACAACAAGTTCCACATTTGGGAAGAAGCCATGGCGAGTTCTGGCTGAGCTCTGTCCCTTGTGCCATGAAACATCAGTCAGGAGACTGCTCAAATCGGTTCTAACTGGACCAACACTGCGAATCAGCATGTTCCCAGGAGGCGTTGCTGGAATAGCAAGCAAGATGCCCTGTAACAGAAATGCTTTTAGGGATGAGTTAACCACATGATGTTTCCTCTCTCTTTCAGGCTTGGTTGAAGAAGGAAGTCTCTATGTCTTTAAGGAAGAGCGGTTGATTGAATTTGATGGGGAACTGGCTACAGATGTCTTGGTGGAATTCCTCTTGGATGTAAGCACAGATAAGATAGATAAAGCCTCTCTGAGAAGCCCTTACTTTGCTAAAACTGTGGCTTTATCTTTATTGAAATTCCATCCCTGTTTGTCTGGTAGAGATGACACTTGCCAGCTTCCCAAATACTTGTCTGACCACAAGTTCCCAGGAAAGCTGGGAACTTTATGTGCTACCAACCACTTAGATCTTAAAAATGCTCTGCTCTCTTTTCTGTTATGGTGTATTTGACTAGAATCAAGTAACAATCCCACATAACTGACTGGTAGTCACCCACCTCAACAAGCTGGCCTGCAAACACTTTGCCATTTGCAAAATCTCACACTTCTTTCTTTTTAAAGTTGATAAAAAAACATACCCAGGAAGTTGCATTCTCAGAGCATCTAAAAAGAGTTTAATTCATTGAAATTGCATATGCTGCAAACTATTTGCCCCTTTCTAGACACAATAACTCAAGCAGAGCAGTGTACTACTGCCTCTTCAGTGAACTTCCTGAATTGCACTGCCGTGAGTTGGAGAAGATCAAGGCCCTCACACTTATTTATAGAATCATAGAATAGTTAGGGTTGGGAAGGACCTTAAAATCATCTAGTTCCAATCACCCTGCAACGGGCAGGGACACCACACATTTAACCATGTCACTCAGGACTCCATACAACCTGGCCTTGAATGCTGCCAGGGATGGGATGCTCTTGCCTGCTCTTGTGCATGGACGCATTTATTCACCTTTATGCCTAAGTGCAAAAGAGATGCTGACTCCCTCATCAGCATGTTGCAATTCTATTAAAATTTTATTCCTAGGAAAGGCAACAGCCCAAAACCATGGTCTTTGATTTGTTGTGAAAACCTTTTGCAGGGGCTTGGCTTTCCTTTGAGATGAAGCTCCCGCTATGAGCAGCTGGTCTAGTGCAAGTGCCTGTGGCAGGGGATTGGAACTGAATGAGCTCTAAGGTCCCTTCCAACCCAAACCAGTCTATGATTCTGTGATTCTATGACCATCACAAGGAGCTTGGCGTAAGGCATTTAGTGAGGTTTTGCTTGCTGTGATTTGCGGTGTGCCGCTGAAAAGCCATGTTCTGTGAACAAAGGAGGAGAGCAAGAATTTCTGTTTGTGTGTTTTCCACTCAAGAGGGAAAATACCCAGCAAAGCAGGGAAGTAAAAACAAACACGTCTGTGGTGCCGGGACAGCCTGATCTCAAAGGAAAACAAACCCAGAGATCCTCCGCTCTGCTGCAGGCTGTATAGTGAGTTGCCTGCCTGCACTTCTGTTTTCCTAGTGAAACCACACCTGATTTACACCAGTATTGCTGGGCAAAATAACCAGACCGAATCCTTTTATCAGCAGTGGCTCATAGAGAAAACAGAAATAAAGTCTGGATCAACCACATGCTGAAGTGGCAGATAGGTCTTCCAGCTTCCTCATCAACTATGATATGTCCAGGGCCAAAGCATGCATTTAAGCCATTCTGCATAGGAAGATGAGCCAGGAAAATTCACATCCAGACTTTCCACTGCTCCAAAACACTGTTTGGCCACCCTCTGGTGTGCTGGATTTAATGTTTTCCAAAAGCAAGCTCTTTGCAATGACCTGTTCCAGCGAATGACACTTGAAAACAAATATATGCAAGCACACAGCTTCCATATCAGTCTCATTCACCTGCTCTCCCTTCTTCTCAGCCCCACTAAAGCCAGCTGCAATTGCTATCCTTTGTCTTTCATCACAGCAGGTCCCTCAGCACCAATTTGGGTTACTGAGACCTCTCCCAGATTCCCTCTTGATGCTTCAACATATGCAGTGAACCTATTAATGGCTCCCTCTGAAGGTGACCTGCACCTCTCTTCTCACATTAAGGCAGAGAACACTAAGCAGTGTTTCCAGCAGCTGAGAAACTGGGTGACCTCCTTCTCCCTGCTGGTGACATACACTGCCAGGCATAGGTTGGTGCTGCAAATCATTCTGCTATCAAATGCATTTGTCATGGCAGGTGCTAGAAGACCCTGTGGAGGTCATAAACAGCAAGCTGGAGCTTCAGGCCTTTGACCGAATCGATGAGGAAATCAAACTCATTGGCTACTTCAAAGGAGAAGACTCTGAACGTAAGATAAATATGTTCGTCGTGGGGCATGGAGCCTGACTGGGGGCTCTGGGGCTTGGGCATTGGTTCTTCTGCATGAACGCTAAGAAGGGTGTTGGGGGTATATGGCAAGATGAGATGGAGCTGCAGGCAAATCTCTGCTCTTGCCATGCATAAGCCTATGTCTACACCAACAGTGATGACCCTCCTGCAAGGTGTTTGTTGGCAAAAGAAGGAGGTGATAATCCAGGGGCTCCTGAAGTAAAGTAAGCCTATGTCACTCAGAGTCAGATGAGGTTACAGTTACACTGGTTGAAGGCCTAAAAGAAGCAAAGCTCCCCCTCTTAGGAGCAGGTCAAAGAAAGAGGGAAGGAGGAAAAGGGAAAGAGAGGGACACACACTAAGTACTCATTTGGCAAACATACAGCAGCAGTAAGCTGGGCATCTTAGGTTAGCCCAGCTGAGTCACTGACTTGTTTCTCCTCACTGAACCCCAAGGCTGAGAAGACACTGGTCCCATGTACCAAGAGACATGCAACTCAAACCACCATCTTTCACCAGCCTAGAGAAATCCTCACCAGAGACTCTCACTGACAAGCCCCAGTGGTCTCCTCTGCCAGCCCCGAGTGCTCCCCTTGCTCTCCAGGTAGTGCTGAAAAGCCTTGCCTGCAAGGCTTGCCTTTAGCAAAAAGACAGGTATTCCTACCCGAACAAGCAACATATCACCAGGTCTGCTGCACCACAGCAGCCCTTCCATCTCTCCCTTCAGCTTTCTTCTTCACTCAAGATGGGCTGCAGGGCACTAATAAGTATTTTGGAGAAAGGTGGGAAATACCCGTTGTAAAGAGCTCCTGCTGGGCTGAGAGCACCCTTCCTGACCCCAGCTGAGGACCCGATACCAGTAACAATAAAAACATGCCTCTTTCCTGCTCCCTCCTCCCGCAGCAGGCAAAGCATGCCTTGGCGACAGTCACCATGCAAACCCTGGAAGGGTGGGAGAAGCATAGTGCCATCATCTGATGTATTTTGCCATAGTTTATGTTTGCTCTTCCCTGGTGCCTTCTGTGCTGATCAGCCGCCGATGAAATCTTTTCTTCATTCCCCTTTTCTCCTTCCAGATTACAAAGCATTTGAAGAAGCTGCTGAACACTTCCAACCATACGTCAAGTTCTTTGCCACCTTCGACAAAGGGGTAAGCATCCATGGACCTCCATAGGAGCTCACAGACTCCACCACCTGATTTCCAGCAGCTCAGGTTGCTCCCAGGTTTAATATCAGGCTTCAGATTCTCATTTTCAGTGTTGCTGTGGTTTGTGGTGTCCAAATTTGGATTTGTCCCTGTGGCAAGATAAAAGGCCATTTCTGCAGCATGAAGGCAGGTCCTGACCTGGGTTTGGAAACCAGTCCCTTTAAGTTTGTGAGAGCTTGACTCTGGCATTGCTCTGCCTCAGTGCTTGAGGCCAGTAGTGCAGAGAGCTTCCATAGTTTTATAACCAAGGAAAGATCCATTCATATTCTGCTGACCATCGCTGAGAGTGGATGCTCTGAGACAGAGCAAGCACTTTGACCAGGAGAAACTCTGGATAGGCAAAGAGGCACGTCAGGCTCACTCACTTCTGACCATCTGCACTGCAACAGGTTGCCAAGAAGCTGGGTCTGAAGATGAATGAGGTGGATTTCTATGAACCATTTATGGATGAGCCTGTTCACATCCCTGATAAGCCTTACTCAGAAGAGGAGCTGGTGGAATTTGTGAAGGAGCACAAAAGGTATGTAGCATGCAGGACACTCCTGGCCATGGGAAGCAGGTAAAGGTGTCTGGCATCACAGGCTTGCCCCCGTAGAGCATCCCTCTCCTTAAAAATTGGGATGACAAGCACCTGCTGACCCAGGTTTGAGATTTTTGGCTGATCTTTTCCCACTCCCTGAGGTGCAAGTGTCAGTGCTGCAATCAGAGCCCACTACCATGGGGCTGTGACAGAGCTTCCCTCCTGCTCCCTCGAGGAGCAGGGAGGCTTGCAGGCACTGCAGAGTGGAAACCTTGCCCTACTTGCCCATGCTTTTAATTTAGGTCTGTTCCCTCCTTCCCCAAAACAGCATCACTGATGGGTATATCCTATATCCATCTCTTCATGCCAGTTATGTCCATAGGCAGGCTCCAAGCTCAGAGGAACCAGGATTGACTAAGAGGTTCCTGCTGACCTCAGGCATGGAGAGGAAGCCACTGCTGTTATGGCAGCGTTGGGCCTCATGTGGCAATAGTGCTGAGCACCTACCGTGTTTGATCAGCTCAGCAGGAGCTGTGGATGCTCTATGCTTTCTGCAACCAGATTTATTGCACAGTTGTTTAGGGACTCAGTCTACAAGTGACTGGAAAGGCCGATCCTTTGTAAAAGCACAGGGTTGAATATAAGGGCACAATTACCCATGGGGTGCTGTATTTTCAGACCATTAGGAATGCAGCACAAGGTAGTCACAGAGCGATTTGCTGCTCCTGCATCTGCATTTCAGACCTTTAAGAGACCAGAAAAGAAAAGCAGGACCATCGATACTTCTGGGGGACCCTAAAATCAGGCTGAGCTTGAGGTTTGTGTTCACACACTGAGGGTTTAGAGACACAAAGATTATCTCTGGAATTCCCAATTTACCAGACTTGGAAACAGATCTCTGCTTTTTCTGACATATGAAGGGGTCCTCTATATCCCATGTACATGTACTTGCAGGTCACTTCATTGATCTCCTGGACTTCCTGACCTCAGTCCTTCCCATTTTTTTCTCTCAAGCTCTTTCTGTCAAAAAGAAGGTGTCAAACACAGCTAAATGCCTAAGAACACAAGCTCTCCACCAGCACAAAACTGCAGTGGACACCCCCCCCCCCCCCCAAGATGCTATGGGGGGCCTGGTAGGAGTGAGAGGATGGGCCATGTACTTTGCAAGTGTCAAGGCTCAGAAGGGAATTAAAAGGTGTCTCATGAAATCAGATGCCTGAAATCCCAAACTTTGGACCAAGGTGGTGGCATGGCAGGGGAAAAACCCTGAGCTGACAGTGATATGTTCACAGCAGTTAATGCCGAGTCTCACAGAGAATATAGTACAATAGACTAGAATACAGTAGAATACACTAGACTAGAATGGGATAAGACAGAACGGAATAGTGTAAGAGAGGCTGCACTAATACCAACTACATGCTAGTTCCTCTGCCTACAGCAAGAGGTCTCTGGGTTAACGTTTGTTTCGCGTGCCGTAATGCTGGGGTTAGACACCCATCCTACCCTCGACCATGTTTTCTGTAATTGTGATATAGCAACATGGGGGCTGAATCCTGCTCCCTCTTGACTCACCTAAACCCCACTTCCTACAGCACAGGGAAGTAACCAGAGTAAATCTGGAGTATCTCTATAGCAACCGGTACACTTGGGTGTGATCAAATCCTCCTGACAGAGTTTCCCTTCTCCAAGAGCCGCCCCCAGAGGACGGATAGGGAAAGCGTCTTGAAAGACATGTAGAGGTACATAACATGCATTCGCCTGACAGAATCTCTAGCTTCAGACGATCAGCAATGAGGAGATTTGCTGGGTCAAAAATTGCATCCCTGATCTTCTACTTAGTAACTACGCTTCCATTTCTACAGGCTTTTTTACCTCCTTTCTATTTTGATGCTGAAAGCAGCCAGTTTGGCAATTGAATTATGCACTGTATCAAAATAACACTTCTATTTGTTCAGTTTATACTTGCTACTTAAAAACTTCACGGGCACCACTAAGCTCTTGTGTTGTGAGGACCATGACCATTCTCTGCTTTGCATTTGCAGCTTTTACCATCCCAATATTTTTAGCCCCACCACCCCATCCTCAGTCACCTTTTTCATAAGATAAAGGGTTCTTATCGGCTGAATCTCACACACACACACACAGAGGTCATTCCATACCTGCCTTCACGACTGCCATGTTTCCATGTCCCTTTTTCAGTTGTTCCATATCATTTCTCTGATGGGATGACCAGAATCACACATACACTCACTGTGGTGATGCAGCGTAGAGCTGCCTATTGCTTAATGGTATGATGTGTTTTACTCCTCAGTCATTTCCCAACTGCTTGTAACCCTCTTTTTACCTTTGGAGCAGATGATTTCTCAATTTGTGACACTTGGGCCCTTCTCCTGAAGACAATAGTTAATTAGAATTCATTTAGAACCCATTGTTGCACCTGTATAATCAGGGTTGGTTATTCTACAAGTGCATTGCTTGCTATATGTATCTGTCATGCAGCCTCTCAACTCACAGAGATCCCCCTGTGTCTCCTCGTAGTTAGACCTGTGTTGATTGTAAAAGAACTGGATCCGATAAGCAACCACTGCTATATTCCTATTTCACATCTTTTTCAGGTTATGTGAGAAGATCTTATGCATACGATCATGCCAAATCATATGCTTTGCTATGAATCTTAATTCCCTTTGTCTTGAAAATTGATTGTTCATCTCAACCTTCATCTTCCAATGTCATTAATCCACAGGAGGACCCCTCCTCTGATCTAACTGAAGCTCTGTTCCTGAGAGCCTTTAGTAAGGGACCTTGGCCAATGGTCCTCTTAAGGCAACTCACTGCCTTGACCTTCACCCACTCATTGGCGACTCTAGCAGACCCATGGCCATGAACTTAAAGGCTACACGCATCTCTAGTGCTACTGTGTCATATTCCTTCAAATGTCTGTTAACTTTACTTTTGCTGGTGGCATTGTGCCCATAAGGGCATTGTTCCTCCAGACCTGTGGCCCCTCAGATCCTTCAGGAACTCTCTAAAACAATGCTCCTTGTTTCCATTGCCCTTGTAGTGAAGCAAACTGAAGCGAGAGGTTACACATCTCACTGATGCCAACGTGCTGCTACTCCCTTTACCAATCTGTTCTAGGACCACATTCGTCAATACTTCTCTTTGCAACAGCTTTCTGGGGCTGGTCAACTAGAGAGGCCTGCTCTGCTGGAGAACCTGCCTGAACACCTCATGCTACAGTGAGCAGAGGTGTGAGGGACTGTTTGTTCTTCTCTCCTTGTGTTCTCTTTAACACCCCAGTCACCCCTCAGACTGCCAGCCTCTCTGACAGGTTTCCTGCTATGTACGTGTATCAAAAGGTTTACTATTCAATTAGGATCCAACTTCTCTTCCCAGAGGTTATTCTGTCTTCTTTGCCTCAGAAGGTTTTGGAAAGGTTTTTATGGTGGAATTATGCTGGGGTAAAACCAGAAGAAAAGGGGAACAAAGCTCATTAGGAATGTCCCGGGGACTGCAAGACAAAAGTGAATGGTTCCCCTCATGCTCTCAGCACGGACAGAACAATCTGCCATGTGTGGGACTAACTCACCAGCACATGCCAGCACAGAGAAGGGTCTCATTTTCCCAAGCACAAACAGCGGCTGCAGCGACTCCAGCAGGGGCAAGGGCAGGGTTTTATCACCATAAATAAAAGCATAAGTTGACCTACCGTGCCCCCTTTGCTTTCATTCAAAATGCAGTGGCTGACAACACTGACTCCAGCCATCAACCAAACATGCCTCAGTGACCTTCTCCGTGACACCATCAGCATCACGCGTGATGGTGCTGGACGTGTCCTCAAAGAGTGTTTCTGTCTTCCTTTCAGGGCCACCTTGAGGAAGCTGCGCCCAGAGGACATGTTTGAGACATGGGTAAGCACGCACAGCAGGAAGTCTGGTGTCCTCTGATAGCTTCCAACAAGAAACCACAAGAGCCCCAGTCTCTGGCTGGGAACAACATTATCTTTCTTTCCCCGTGAGCAAAGCCTCTTTGCCTGCTTTGGGAAGAAGGGAAAGCGTTGGCTGTAAAGCCCGGGTCCCACTGCTGCTTTGCTTAGCAGCAGTGGACAGCTGAGCTGAGTGCTGTTTGCTCCACAGGTGGGACAGGGAAAGCTAACCAAGCGTGCCAAGTCTTGCTGCTTTAGTGGCTGTGACATAGCTATGGAGAGCATCCTCCCCAAGGATGATCCATGTCATTTAATGGGCGTCACTGCTGCTGGTGGGGTGGTTTCAGTGGCCTGCTCGCTGTTATCAGCCATTGGAACAGGCTGCCCAGGGCAGTGCTGGAGTCACTGTCCCTGGAAGTGCTCACACACTGTGCAGATGAGGCCCTCAGTGCCATGGGTTAGTGGTGGCCTTGGCAGTGCTGGAGTAAAGGTTGGACTTGATGGTCTTAAAGGTCTTTTCCAAGTGAGCTGATGCTATGATTCTATGATTGCACTGAACAGATGATTCATGGCAATTGTACCAGAGCAATTGTACAACTCAAAATGCGAGTGAGGGCAGGCAGTTCAGTTAATTATAGAGATTACAGAGCAAATTGTGTATTGATTGTGCTTCTCACAGTGTAAGCAAGCTGCAAGTGAGAGATTATGAAGAACTAAGCAGCAGTTTGGTACCAGTCACACACAGAGGACTCTCCTGGTCTGCAAGGGTGGGAAACAATGGATGGGTGAAAATGAAAGAAAAATCTTGTATAACAAATGATCCCTTTGCTGTGGATGAGCACAATGTTAATAGCTAGTCAGGGCCCTTCGAATGGCAGCTAAATGCTGAAAAGCAAAGCTGGAGACGTGCTTTACAGATGCTAAGGAAGATGCAATCATTCCTCCAAAAAGCTCATCACATTTATAACAGCATTCAGTTGCCTCGTTGCTTGGTTGTGGAACAGGAAATGCTGAGGGATTCCAAAGCAACAAAAACCTTGGGAGTCTTTAATGCAACAAGACGAGAGGTAATCACACTGAAGCAGGAGTTATGAGTCACTTGGGCATGAGAGCTTTTCATTTGGTTTGGAAATACAGATTATGTATAGATGATGGCTTCCCACATCCACTGAGGTCCCTCCAAGTTTCCTCATGGGGCTGCAGCAGGACCCAACTTTCACAAGGAGCGGTTTTGCTTTCATACTGAACCTTAGGAAAAGTGGGAATTGTCAGTGGTGGGATGTTTGCTTTACTAGCAGCCTGGGGATACAGAGCTTGTCTCTACTATGAGTAGGGGACTTGTACCTACAGGAGACAATGGGCTGGATTTTGATCTCGCTGCAAATTCAAAACATCATCAATGCCTTCACTGGAGTTACCCTTGTTTTGTTTACTGCCTTGGAGGTCAGAATACAGCTACATTATATAGCTATATATATAATTATATATCACACATATATGTATATTCTACTTTTCTGTCTGACAATGGAGAAAAAACAACAGTGTAGATTTTTCCAGCTGCAAGTGGTCTGAATCCCAAGTAGATCTGCCTAGAATGCCCCAATGAAAATGTATTCCCTGGAGACACCAACAAAGGCCCAGCATCCGCTATTGTTTTTAAAGATAATGTTTTCCACTTAATCATTCAGGGTTTTTTTGGGGGGGGTTCCTTTCAGGTCTTGATGGTGGCTTTGTCACCTCTGGGCTCAGAAGGGAAAAGGAATTAGCATTTAGATGGGAATTTTTTCTTGCATTAAAACCAATTGAAATGGAAACTGGGACTGGCAGCGGGTGAGGAAGGCAAAGCTGATCTGTGGGATAATTCAGAGATGACATTCATAGCAGGCAGATGATGAACCAGCCAGTAGATCCATTGGCCTTTGCCAATATCATTACTCACTACTTACATGTCTCATGGAGAAAAGCAGTCCACCAGCCCATTGTTTCTAATCCTCCACACACTGGAGCCCTGAATTCCCCTTGCTGGTCGTGGAAACCCTCACCTAAAGCAGAGACCTTTCACCTCCCCAAAGGGGCCAAAGTGAGCCACCTCAGCGCTTGCATTGTGAAGAAACCTCCTTTGCTGGCCCCAAAGGAGCACATTTGGGAGTTGAGAGTGGTGACATATACTTCACGTTAGATATAAGGAGGAAGTTCGTTACTGTGAGGGTGGTGAGGCACTGGAACAGGTTGCTCAAAGAAGTGGTGAATGCTGGCAGTGGTGAATCCCTGGCAGTGTTCAAGGCCAGGCTGGACACAGCTTTGGGTGTCATGGTCTAGAGTGAGGCATCACTGCCCATGGCAGAGGGGTGGAACTGGATGATCTTAAGCTCCTTTCCAACCCAAGCCATTCTGTGATTCTATGATTCTAAGATTTGTTTCCCTGCAAACCATTCCCTGAAAGCTGCAAATTTATGAGGGTAGTTGACCTCAGGCATGGAAGGTGAGCCCATATTCCCATGCTAGAGAGCTCTTGACCTTCTCTGCAGGCAAGCTTTTGCCACACCATCCCGCACCACTCCTTTGCGTTTGCCACTGTGGTGCCCATCTCATTTTTAGCTGAAGGATTTCAGCAACACTACCCAAACTACCTGCTTTAGAACCTAATACCTCCACAGCTCAGCCTGACCTCAGTGTCTTGAAGGCAGCCTATCACTTCTCTGTTGGACTCTGTTCTCCTTCCCTGGCCCATCAGTAATAGTTTTGCTGTTTCCAGGAGGATGACATGGAGGGAATTCACATCGTGGCCTTCGCAGAAGAAGATGACCCAGGTAGGAGGCTTTTTTCCTCCTTGTGTCACTCTCCATCAGTCAAGAAGTGCAGTTTCCTGTGCTTTGTTTGCATTGTGGAGCCCAGTGCCTAGGCTGGGATAGGGAGCTGGGATGCTTCTGGGTTTCTACACTAGTGGGTGTGCTAGCCAGGATTCAAGTCCTGGGTATAAATGAATAGCTGGCTGCAAAAGAAAAGTCATCCCCTGCACCTTAGCACCAGGATTTGTCCCTAACTCTGTTCCCTCCTTGCTTTGTGGCTCCAGGAAAGTGCTGCTGGCTTGGTTTTTGATGGGCATGTTGGAAACCCATGAGCATCAGCTCCTGGAAAGTCGTAGCATTGGTGCTTCTCATGCATCAGTGTGCCAAACAGCTTTGGCCTCTTGGGGACTCAATTGCTCCCTTGCCACAAGAAAACAGTGTCATTGTTCCAGTCTGCAGAAGGGTTATGAGACTTAATTCATGTGTAACTAATTTCAGTACCCGGGGAGGATGCTCAACATTAAAAGCCTTATTATCAGAAGAAAGGGCTGGCAGACAGCGTTTTAATGAGCTCTGTGAACAACCCTCTGTGCACAGAGGGGAGAGGGAAGTTGAAACCCCCCCCGGAGCAAAAAGTGCCTGGATGTTTGTAGGAGAGAGCTGCAGCACTTCATGTATCATTTCAGATGGGTTTGAGTTCCTGGAAGTCCTGAAGCAGGTTGCCAGGGACAACACCGATAATCCCGACCTGAGCATTGTCTGGATTGACCCCGATGACTTCCCTCTGGTGAGTGGCAGGGGCTCCTTGCCTTTCCTGTTTTAACTCATGGAAGGGGGTAGGTTGGTGTGGTGGTGTGTGCATGAGCACAGGGATTTCCCCAGGGAATTTGGAGCAGGGAAGAACTGGGCAATGGGTGATCCCTGAGAGCTGCTTGCTCAGGTCTGCCCCCAATGAAGGGGGTATCCCGGGAACATCTCCAGAACCGGCACTTTCCTTTGCCATGTGTGGCAGTTCAAGCTTGTGTTCAGCCTCTCCCGGGTGCATTCATGCAACAGGCATTTGTTAATCCAGGCACCCTCGTCTGAGCTTTGTTTCTCACTCCTGCAGCTCATCACCTACTGGGAGAAGACCTTCAAGATCGACCTGTTCAAGCCACAGATCGGGGTGGTGAACGTCACAGACGTGAGTAGCGTGTACCCAGGAAATCCAGCGATCCCAAAATGAGGGTGCTAGAAAGGACAGGATCTGAGGTCTGCTGGAATCTGTGGGATTTTTGCTGTTAAGTGCAGGCAGAACACGCTTTTTCCCCAAGGAAAACGTGTAAAGACCTCACCATTCCCATGTGCAGCGTTCATAACACCTCTGACGTTGAGCTCCAGGGCTTCAGTCTGACTGAACCTGGGTGGGTTTGTGGAGGAAAAGTGTGCATGTAGGGGGGAAAGCAAGTCGTGATTAGGGGAGAAGAGTAGCAAAAGGAGCGTGTTTTTTGCAGCAGAAGCAGAACAGCACAGCTTGAATGTAGGAGGGAAAGATGGTCCCAAACAGATGACAGGGAGAAACTGCATAGCTTGAAAAAAAAACCTAAATAAATACACAGCTTTAATAAGAGTATGATATAAACTGGTAACAAAGGGATCCTGCTGTGGCAAAGGGGCTATACTGGGATTCATCCTCCCCAGCCACTGCCATGCAGGGGTTTGGGTGGGAAGAGGGTATATGTCTGCCCCACACCCCATGGCAGTGAAGGGTTTCCACGCCATCCTGCAGCCTGCCTGACTTATTCCCTAGGTTTATTTCTGATGCTGAAGTGCTGCGTGTTTTAATCTCTTTAAAATGGACCCGTGTGGGAGTGTCTCTGGAAGCATAAATCACTGCTGAAGTGGCTGTAATTTGGTGCTTGACTTCGTGTCTGAAGTTTCAACTGCATGGGAAACTGATGTTTCATTAGGAGAGAGCAGGGAAGGACCCGGGGTTGGGTCCTGACCTCACCAGCAACCCTGTTCGTGGCTCCTGTGCACTCTCTCCTGTAGCTTTGCAGGGCAAGAGGGGCAGCAAGGGTGTACTGTACGATTGTGCCTCCTGTTACAGCAAATGTTGCAAGATGGGGGACATGGTAGGGAAAGCAAAGCTCTGGTGTGATGCAGAAAGCGGATGTACACCTAGAGAGTGAGTACCCAGTGGGTGAAGGCTTGTTAGAAACTTATGAAGGGAGAGATAAAAGGCAAAAAGGGCCCAGATAACGTCTGAAACCTAAGATCATGTGAGAAATGAACAGGCAAGACAGAAACAGAGCTCACGTATTCCAGTCTTTTCCCCTTATTACTAGTCCACTGTATCTCCCTGCATTATGTTCACTGCAGCTCTCCGTGTTTAAGTCATGTCACAGCTCCATTGAAGAAATTCATGAAAGTAGGATTGTCAGTGGCAAGAGAACTCTATAGAAAGCAGTATTAGGCAGGAACATATGCCACATTATCCAGCAGTCACTCAGAAACCTGTGAAAACTCGTGCATTAGCTTTGATACAGGCAGTGTTTCAGGTGGCTGATTACATTATTTGCATTTTTTCTTTAATTCCTCTTAAGCCTATTTTCTATTCCTCAAGAGAGAGATTGAAGAAGGCTCTGGGTTGGAGGGTGCTATCTAAACCAAACACTGAGCTCACTTCGTGATTTCAGTGTTACATCACCGCATTCAGCCAAGTTACACAGGTACAAAGTGAAGCTTACACAACAGAGTAAAAATAAACACTGCTCTTGGCTTCGGTGGACATAACCCCTGTGACCCTATCACTCCTCTAAGAACCTGCCAATACAAACACCAGAGCTCCCAGCAGTCCCCGCTGCTCTGTCACGTCGGACTGGCTCAGGATTAGGGCCATGGTGCTCTGCACCATGCTGCTTTACGTATGTGCACAGCATCTTCTCGAGGGGCAATGGGCCCACTCCAGTTCCCATTCGTTAAAGGTGTCAGGTTTTGCTTCAAGAACAGTCCTGAGGTTGAGGACAAGATCGTTTGTATGAAGCAGGAGCTGCATGCCTCTTTGTGGCTCTTTTTTATTACAGTTTTAGTGGTTTAGAAGGAAGACAAATATTGTAAGGGAGAAACAACTTTTCTTGAGCACAAATTGGTCCGGCCTTTTAGCAAGCCATAAACCGAAGAGAATTGAGTACCACAGACAGGGATGCATTTGCACCCAGTGCAAACTGGGGGTGTATTTGCACTGGATACATTTCCAAAAGCAGGTATTTGTCTTATGAGATATGAAAAGCACTTGCTTCTGCAACATTAAACACTGACTGAGATAACCTCACAGCACCTCCGCAAAACAGGACGCTGATCCTGTTTCATGGAGGGGAGACAGCGAAGCGAAAGAGGCTTACCCAGGCATTTACCTAGGAAACCTATAGCAAAGCAGAGGGAAAACCTTGCATTTCCAGGCCTCAGAGACCACCTAAGCTATGCTTCCTGTCCCTGGGTAGCAGCCACAATTTAGACAGCATCTTCTTATTGAATTCCCCCTCGTCTGTTCTACCTAGTTTATGGAAGTAATGCAGACAGCTGGAGAGAAAGAGCAGGGGGCACCTGCATTCCAGGGCATCTGTGTTTTTCATCGTTCTTCAGCTGGAGCATGGTTGAGATGATGTGATGAAAGGCTCTTCAAAGAGAAGGAGCCACCATCACACGTGGAGAGTCCAGAGCAACATCCTGAGGCAAAGAGGATAGTAATAGAGGCTGGGGAGAAGGGTTGCTGCTGACAGCAGGGTGTAAAGGCTCAAAGGAAGAGGTGCCAGAAGGGCTCTGGAAGGAAGGAAGGATGGAGGGGAATGCTGTGATGTCCTGTGAACTGGGGTGATGCAGGAGGAGCTGGCATAGTTCTCTTTATGCTCTCTTTATGTAGACTTGGAGTCCACACATCTGGCCAGACAGGGTGAAGACAATGCATCAGGTGGACAATGCTCTTGCTGCAGGAGAGGAACAGGCAGCGGGCACATACCCAACCCAGGTCAAACAGCACCACACACTCCTGCGAACCCATTGACCAGTCCCACTGCCCCTAGTCAGAAGCAACAGCACCTCAGGGGGAAGTGGTAATCCCAGGGTGTAGGCAGAGAGACTCTATGGCTGAGCCTGCCTGCAGGCTGTGGCAGGGAGGGAGCTAATGTCAACACCACCCCTGCATCCATAGCAGCAGTGAATCTCTTGCCTGTGTCTCTGAGGGTGACTAACCCCCCCATGACCTGTCCCCGCAGGCTGACAGCATCTGGATGGATATCAGAGATGATGATGACCTGCCCACAGCGGAGGAGCTGGAGGACTGGATAGAAGATGTGCTTTCTGGGAAGATAAACACCGAAGATGACGATGACGATGATGACGACGATGACGATGATGATGATGACGATGATGATGATGACGATGATGACGACGACGATGACGACGACGATGATGATGATGATTAACTGTGACCCTGTGCAGTTTTACTTGTGGGGGCCCAGAGCCCTCCCCCTTCGGCAGGTCCCTCCATTGGAAGGCCTGTGCTTGAGCGTCAGCAAGCACCGATGCTCTTCTTTGCCCCCTGCCCTGCTCTCCCTGCCCCTGCCTCTGCCCTTGCCGGGACCCCCCAGCCTGATTCTCAGTGGTGCTGAGCCACCAGGACTGCCCCTGCAGGCACCCAGCACCGCTGCAAATCATGCCTCCTTAGAAAGGACAATAGGAATCCACAGGGAATCTGCCCTGAGCTTCCCAGGGTGGGAGAAAAGTGCCTGCCTGCTCACTGCCAGAGGGACACAGGAAGCAAAGTTGTGTTTTCCATGCTCATCGGCCCAGCACTTAACATCCAAAGACCAAATCTCACTTCAAGACACAGGGAAGGCCGCTGTGAAGTTCAGTCCTTTTATTAAACACAATGCCCTTTGCAGCTTACTCTGCCAAGACCACTCAATCCTGCAGGTTCTGCTGCAGGAGTCGGTAGCTGCTCACTAGCACCTTAAAAGCAGCAAAAAGCTTTGGGAAAGGAGAAGGGATTTAGGGATTCTATTTAAGTTTTCAGTGATTCCATATGACAGGATATTCTTGTCTGGCAGCGCAATGCAAACCGAACACCACAGTCCCTGTCTGAACCTCTTCTCGAAAGCTCAGGCCAAAGCTAGGGTAAGTGCAGGTAGTCTGATAGGGGACATCAACTTTTGTGAGTTCCTGAATGGCTGGAAAGGCTGATCCAGGTCTGAGCCCAGCCTCTTGAGGCTGAAGATCATGAGCCAAATCGCTGGCCTTAACCCAGAAGAAACACCAAAGCAGACTCCACGCCAGTTGCAAACATCTGCAACCAGGTCTGGGCTGGGCCTACCTTCCCTTTCAGGTGAACCTCAGACAGATTGAAGGTGGTGTACATGAGATAGTGCCAGTGGAAACATTCTTGCGGGCCCACCCTGAAGCCCTCCTATTGCCCAAGACCTTCCAGCTTTGGCTGGCTTTCAACCCGTAGCCTACAGAGCATCTTTTCCCATGACCAAGATGTTGGGAGGGAACGCATCCATCCAACCGTATTAGATGCTGGATAACATGCGTTGGGCAACGAGCAGTGAAAGCTGTTTGGCTTTTACATATCCAGTTCCATAGTTACTCCCTGCTTAGAGACTCATGGTAGTTCATGAGAAGCCTCTTTTGACTACAGACTGAGAAGGAGCTCATAGTCAAGGGGGTCACTCTCAAAGCAGAGCGTCAGCAGCTCCATCCTGGTGAGTGCAGCACCATCCATGTGCAGGTCACTGCAGCAGCATTAGGTTGCCCTGCTTTTCCATGCTGGTAGATTTCAGTTGTCTTAGCTTCTTAGATTTGACAATAGTGCAATGAATGGAAAGCTTGGAGATAGTTTTATCTTTATAAATACATTTATAAATATGTTCTCCAGTTGTCCAGCCTTGTTAGCATAGGTTAACACGTCCTCTCTTGCTACAGGCAAAAACCATTGTCCTGACCTTTCTTATACTGGCTTATGTCAGAGGTAAGTGATGTTACAGGGGAAATAACAGTGTGAGGGACGGGAGAAGCAGAGCTCCTTGTACAAATGTGACTCAGCCTGATGAGACACAGGGTTTACACATTATGTATTTCCTTTATCAGATGAACTGCAAAGCAATATTTTACAGATTTGTTTTCCCCTGCCTGTTGATCAGTCTCTTTGACTCTGTCTCTACATTAGCTGAAATAGATATTTTAAACTACTGGTATAACAAAGCTGAAGTACTGATATATTCCTACATGTACTTAGCCCCTTGGTGGAAAGTGCCAGTATGAACAACACACAGCTGGGTATCTATTTACCTCTATGTATATGAATGAATACTGTGCTTATATGGTATATGACCATAGGCCACGTTAGCTCCTCACTGAACACCACTCAACCCCTGCTTTTAAGACACAGCCTATTAGAAGAAGAGACAGGATGGCAAAGCACTCCCAGGTCAACTATTTGCCTTTTCTTGCTTCTTTATGATGTGTGGAAGACTCAAACAAAGTGTGCTTGGGGAGGCCATCCATACATGGACAACCCAGCCCCATGCCAGAGGACCTGGTGGAGACTTTCAGAAGCCTGGAAATGCTCTCAGCCTGGAGGTGCCCTCCTCTCCTCCAATCACATCCTCCTCTCTCCTGGCCAGAGGGGTGTCCAGCATCCTCCTCCTGCTCTTTCCTTTCAGCTGCTTCCTCCAAAGGTTTGCTGGAGGACCCTGGCTCAGAGAGAGGGACTCAGTGTCTCATGGATGCACATTGGCATGGAGCAAGAGCAAGCAAAACTAGCCATTTAGGAGTCTCCCAGTCTGTGGTTAAGGGACTCAGCTGAGTTTATCTTTACCTTGGGGCTATTCTGAGAAGTAAAACATTTGGTTTTACCCTGCATAAAGTAACAGTTTGCACAATCCCTGCAGCACCAGACTAGGCACCACAAAGTGCCATGAATGTCTATAAGCACAATAGCTGCTCTGCTGCCTTTCCCAACTGGCACTGTCTCCAGACACCCTGATTGCCTGAATACTTTCTCTATAGCTCCCACTGTGGAAGCCTGTCTTTTCTGATGTTTCCCTCTCTAAATGCTCTGAGAGGCACAGCTTACATAGGCAGGCCCTGCAAAGGGCATTACAGATGGGCTCAAGAGCACAGCTGTTTCACAGGCACATACACATTTTGATGCATCAAGGAAGAGTGCTCTGGGGGGGGGGGGAAGAATAATGTGGTGCTTAGGCTTATAAGAGGCCACTGAGGCTGAGCTGGTGTCAGTGGTTTACGGTTTCTCCTGAGTTATATGAGAAAGGGTTAATCTTACAGCTGCCACTCTTCATGGTGCCAGCACAGTCTTTGATGGGGCCACACTTTCTCTGCTCCCTTATTTCCCCAGTATGGTTTTCTTTCTTGTCTTTGCCCAATAATGGGATTTTTTTATTACTTGCTTTTGGGATAAACACATAAAAAGTTAAGGAACCATTGCAGCAGAGGAAGGATTGCAGCAATAAAGATGAGCGCTCAGCACAGCCTCTCCCATTCACCCCAACACCTCCTCTTCCCTGTGTTTGTAGTGGCTGAACCATTGAATGAGGCAATACCCCTTGTGAAGGAGGTGGCAACTTGAACTTGAGTGTCTTCCTGCAGGGACAGGGATGATAGTGGTATATGGAGGTGGCACATACAGAACCCAAGCATGGGCACTCCTGGGCTCCTCTGTCAGAAGTAGGCACAACTGGCATTTGAAGGCTGCTGACTACACTCTGAAAGGCAAAATGTCAGTAGGTTTGGATGAGGAACCAGCCAAAAAACCCTTCTTTATTTAAACCAAAACTGCTGTGGGCAGCACTGAGTGTTCCTGCAGGGAATTGTGTGAAGACTGTTCCTCTCTTAGCAAGTAGTTCTTTTTCTCCTGAGTGTTAATTAGACATTCACATTAAACGTGTCTTAATACACATAGAGACAAGGAATTGTATTTTGCCCTCATCAGGCTGCAAGTGTTTCAAGATGATCAATCAAAGTACCCCAAAACCTAATCTTATCAGTACCCAACAACAGCGAAGCTCCCCTCCCCCGCAAGCCATATGTGACCAGAACAGTCATACACCACCTCCTCCCAGTCACAGGGCCAGAAGAGGAGCTGGTTTGGTGTGCTGGACCACAAGCCACCCTGTGCTACTCATGGGCAATGATCAGGAGACAGAACCCCATCAAGAGCCACGTACCGCAGCTTTCATACAGGAGCACGAAGGAGAAAGCTTCTGCCTTTGCAGCAGAATCAAAGACACTGATGGAGAGGCTTTGTGAACCCAAAACTACTCTGAACTTATGTCAACCATCTGGGCAACAGCCCCAGAAGGAGAGGACAAGTGAAGCTCTTTGGAAATCACAGGTTACTCCATATCTGCAGGGGCAGCAGTTTTCATGATGCTTCTGAGGAGCCTCCTGTCTGCCTTTGGGAGAGGAACGGCCCTGACATGAAACCAGAGATCTCAGCAGCTTCCCATCCCAGAATGAAGCCAGACTGCAACACACATGCACAGCTCAGGACACCAGCTGCTTCCCTGTGTCTGTCTGCACATCATACCTCAGAAGTGATTGATTCGTTACCAAGACCAAACAAACTCCATTGCCTTTGATTCCCAGGGAAATAATTAATTAGACAGGAACATCTCTTCCCAGCTGCTGCTGACTTGAAAATAGGCCAGGTTGCATCTGGATTCCCCTCTGCCTGGTAAATCTCAGTTTCTCACGGATACTTGTACTTAGGGGTTAAAGAGGAGTAAACAGGCAACAAGCACCAAGGCCCTCCAGGGCAAAGCAAACTGCCTCCTGGCTACTTTTACACCTCAGGTACATCTGTGCCATGCAGTGTAGAAACTGGGAGCAGCAGAGCACAGCAGGAAGGATAATTAACCTCAGTAATGAGGCTGCACCAGCAGGACTGTGTCTTACATGAGACCCAAGACTGTCAACCCACTGCGCTGCATCCCTGCCTTTTCCCTGCTCCCTTGTACCACTGACATGGTACAAGGGTAAAGCAGCCCTTCAATGGTAAATATGCCTTGGGGCCAGCCATGGGATGGCTCTCACACCTGCTTGGCAGATGATGTCTAATGATGACACAGACCATGAGGCAGGACCCAGGGCAGAGCCATCCCTCCTGGCCCAGCTCCCAGAACGCTCCCTGCCAGGTTTCAAAAGGTGCTAAACTATTTAAAGGAGGAAATAAACAATATAAGCAATGCTACTGAGCTTCCGTGCAGCTTGAAGACCCATTTCTGGAGTTAGATTGCAAGCAGCATTTGGAATGGAAGCAAATAGCCTTCCCATGCCTCCCTCCCCCCCCTTACGCTCCCTCCTTGAGCCTTCTGCCAAGTCCCTGTGATGAAGGAGATCAGCAAAGCTCTCAAAGGGCTTCTGTTATTGTCCTTAATGCTATGGAAAACAAGAAGAAAACATGGCTTTTTCACCTTCTTTTCATTCCTATTGACTTTACTCTTCTGGTCTTCACTGCCTTGTTTTCTCTCTCCATTTCTATCTAGCCTGCCTTCCTCTTCTCCTCCATTCACCCTTATAGCGTTGAGGGTCGCTCAAGGACAAGGACCTCCCCTGCCCCTTCTGCTTAAGCTCATCCCCAGCACAGGGAGGCAGCAGCAGCCCTGACACCACTGCCAGGAGCCAGCCATGGTGGGACCCCGTGCCATGAGCTGTGGTGTGAACAGGGGGAGGGACAACGTTCTCATCCTAAGGAGAAAGCTGACAGGCTGAGACTGGCTTTCCTTTTGTGAGGAATAGGTGCGACACTCCCAAGATGAAGCTGTTTCAGGAGCCTGGGCACTGAGGGAATACCGGGATTGTTTCTTGGGGGCATCTTTTCCTGTTGTCCCAAAATCCAGATCAGGAGCTATCACCCTACAACCAAG